CCTCAATATATTGGTCTATTTTTATAGTAGGATTCACTTAAAAAAAAACCCTAAACGATTGTTTTAAATGTTAGTTTTGCACTATATATTTGTATAATTATTTGTATTGACACAAAAAATACTTTCTTGTTGAAATAATACTAGTTTTTACGGATTTTATCGCGTATATTTAACTTTTTATATACCCGCGTTTCGAGCGCTTTACAGCACCCCTGGTCACGGGGGGGACTGAGATGTTCAACGTCCAGATGTCATAGTTAACCGCGGTTACCATAGATTAAAATTTAACTTTTGCTCCGATTTACTAAATTTTAATCTATGGTAACCGCGGTTAACTATGACATCTGGACGTTGAACATCTCAGTCCCCCCGTGACCATGGATGCTGTAAAGGGCTCGAAACGTCGGGTATTTAAAAAGTTAAATATACGCGATAAAATCCGTAAAAACTAGTATTATTTCAATGTGTAGTGTTCGTGTAAATATAAGAAATCATAACACTTTCTTCTTTTAGCCATTTTAAAATTTAGAACTTCAAGCTTGTCACCTTGAACCAGTTTACAGAGCAGTGCGATTTCAATTAATAAATTTACATCTTTCCTTTAATAAAATAGGTTCTCAAAAGTAAACGACGATGGAAGTATCAAAATGCTTTCGCAAAAGAATTTTGTTTCCTATCCTGTGTGAGATTCACACGTTCTACCATAACTTCTCTTTCGGACTGGATTTGATCCCGACTGGACCGGGCACTTGGTTGGTATCTCTCCACAACTGTGTTATCGTCTGCATACCCATAGATACCGGACATAAGCAGATCATTGATATGCAGCAGGAACAGAGTTGTGAAGAGAACGGACCCCTGAGGAACACCGGTGTCAGTCACCAAAGGATCGGATGAGCAGCAATTGACGGTGATCCGGAGAGATCGTTCACTCAGAAAGTCTTTTACCCATTCAATCAGACCAGAGGATAAGCCGTACGCTGGAAGATTACCCAAAAGGCTAGGGTGCCAAACTCTGTCAAAGGCCTTCTAAACATCTAGGGAAACAACAAGTGTTTACCCACTGCCCAAGTGCCTCAAATATCAAGTGCCTCGCCTTGAACGTGTGTGGCATACTCTGGAAAGTCCCCAGTTGGCCGATTTCGGCGAAACCCATATTGTCGGTCACTAAGGAGGTCATTACTGTTCTAGGTATGCCATTAAGCGGACGTTCACGGAATCTTGCAAAGGATGGAGGTAATTTGGCCGAGAGTTGGCAAGGTCAGTACGGCTACCGTAATTAGGCACAGGCTGCGCATTGGCCAGCTTCCAAGATTTGAGCACTGTTTCATCCTGAATGAGAGGCGAAACAAGTGTGTCAACACAGGGGACAACTCAGATGAACAGACCTTTAGAGCTATAGCCGGTATACCATCAGGTCCACTAGTTTTGTTCCCGTATAAACTTCGCAAGGTATTAAGTAACTCCTTGTTGGTAATACGGACCTCTGAAAAAAGGTACTACAGTAAGATAATTGGGATGGTACGCTGTTGTTACTGTGTAGACGCGAATTGTAAGCAAATAGAGAAACATATAAGTCCGCTTTCTCCTTAGACGCATGCGCCAGTGAGCCATCTGGTGTGGAGGAGTGAAGGCAGTGTAGACCGACAGAAGTTCGTCTCAACCGCTTTGGCCATAGACCAAAAAGATCTACTGGCAGATAGTTAGACAGAAAGATTTGTACCGATACATTTAATGCGGTCGAAACTGTCTTGCCGTAATACTTTTTTGCAAGACCTTGGTTGTTGTTGGTCGGCTATCTTTTTAAGGCTAACATACAGAGCTGTGCGGTCTTTAGCATCGTCCCATCGATCCATGGCCGAGCTTTACCACTAATGGGCACGTCAGCAAAGGGGACTCCATCGCTTGACGTATCACATCGGTTGTGGTATCCGTGCAGCTCAACGGATCTTCAGACGGGAAGCAGACATGCCGCCAAGGATAAAATGCAAATAAATGCCGCATCTCATCCCAATCTGCTTACTTGTATCGCCACACTCGTCGCACGCCGTGAAAATCGATGTTAGGTGGGAAATATAACGACACAGATTTCACCAGACAGTGGTCAGTAGTTCCCAAGGATGAGGTAACCTGAACATTGTACCTGTGTGGATCGATCGTCGGCAGAAGGTCGAGGCAGTTGTCTGTGTACCCTAGTCACTTGTTGTAGCCTAGTCACAGCTGGAAGTACCTCAGTGATAAGGCGAAATTCCACGCCTCTCTCCCAGCGTGGTCGGTCTTCTAGTATGGGAACAGCCAGTCCTGATGACAGGCATTTAAGTCATCCAGAAAAACTAACTGTACATTAGGGTACCGATTTAGAGGCACATCAAAGCCTTCAGTGGGGTGATCAAATAGCCTAGTTGTCTCCTTGTCATCGCTGTGCGATCGGTAGATCAATACCCAGATCGTAGAAAAAGTGGGGTATTCAAGGTGACGGATACGCTTATATGTTTATCATAATAATAATAATTCCCTCAAAACTAAATTTTAGCTACAGCGGAGATTCCGCGCAGTTCAAGATTAAAGTGCATGAGTGTGTGCGGAAGCGCAGGTGCACACACTATTCCCTCACTATTAAAGTCTAATATGATGGCAATCTAACACGACCGGAGAATGTCAGGCACAACACCAATGGTTTTACGTGATTTCCAAAGAACGGGGGTGAAACAACTACAACGTTCCGATTCCGGGCTGTTAGGCTTACACAGTAAGATTAGAAGAATGACTAGAAGAGTAGAATGACTTCGAATTGGAACGGCCTAACAAATACAATTAGTTTGCGGTAAGCAATTTGTTTTTAAACGTTGAAAATGTGTTACGTGGTATAGCCATGCTGCAGCTATAATATGGTTGTTGCAATAATAAGTCTGCTTGAGCCAGGTAGGAACACATTTTTACAGAATACCAGCTTAATATAACAGCATAATCCTGCTGTGTTTGTATGGTAAGTGTAGGGAACCGGAGACCCCGAAGCGAGCATTCCATATTTATCCTCAGGGATGATAATGCATCTGCATTTTGATTATTAATCGAGGATAAATGTCAATGTCTATCTGCCACAGCATTCACTGACCATCTGGTGGTCTGTGTCCTCGTTTGTCACCACTAACCTACTAAATGAACTTATATAAAGTTCACATACGAGTCATCATTATTATCATCATTACAGCCATTCACAAATCCATTGCATACATAGGCCTCCCCCAAGGTATGCCACAAAGCACGGTCCTGAGCTACCTGCATCCATCGACTTCCTGCATATCTTCCCAGGTCGCTACTCCAGCTAGTGGGGGATCGCCCTACACTTCGCCTACCGGTACGAGGCTGCCACTCGAGAACCTTTTTTCCCCAACGGTCGTCGGTTCTTCGAGCTATATGGCCGGCCCATTGCCACTTCAGCTTACTAATCCGTAGGGCTATGTCGGTCACTCTGGTTCTACTGCGGATATCCTCATTTCTAAATTTATCACGCAGAGAAACCCCGAGCATAGCCCTCTCCATAGCTCAATTAGAGACTTTGAGTGTCCTCATACGGCCAGCAGTGAAGGACCACGTCTCAGTTCCATATGTCATCACTGGCAACACGCACTGGTTGTACAACTTAGTTTTCAGGTTTTGAGGTATACCTGACGAGAAGATGTAACGTAATTTCCCGAACGCTGCCCAGCCGAGTTGAATCCGTCGATTGACCTCTCGGTCGAAGTTGGACTTACCCAGTCGGACTATTTGTTCCAGGTAAACGTACTCGTCAACAACTTCGAGCTTAGTGCTCCCCCCCGGCATAGGTGTACATGTACGAGTACACATTATTAATATAGTAACTTAATGAATCTCATACTGATGCATTTTTATCTATACATATTAATAAAATTGGAGTATATGTCCGTAGTATCGAAATAACTGCCTTATATTAAACTGATGAGGTTATTTGCATGCTATTAAGATATGAATAACTATTTCTAGTACATAATCTTGTCTGTCTGTCCGTCTGTCTACAACCAATGAAGCGGTTTAGGCTACGTTATATCCGAGACACTTGGAGGTTTTAGATAAATAGAAAAATTGATAATATAAATGGTAAATGATATAAATAACGATATAATTATTAAATTCTACCCAAGCGAAGCAGGGGCGGATCGTTAGTTAATCATTAAAACAGGTGGCTCAGAACCGTGCTTCGTGGCATACCTTGGCGGAGGCCTGTGTTCAGAAGTGGATTTGTGAAGGGCTGTAAGTTTTAAGCGTTGTCATTTGACACACATGAGGACTAAGATGAAATGCCTCTTTTCCAGAAAAACGGGTCTCCCGTTTTCTGCACTCACCATACAATATACTACAGCATTTAGCTGCAATTTTACGCCAGTATTCTGTGAGAGCGTGGTTCCTGCGCGGTCTATATCACCGGATATAGCTGCGACGTGGCTCTACCACGTATAAAACTATTAACTCTGTTTCCCATCATTGGTCTAGACATTTCACATTTAGCGTAAACGGGGTGATTATACCATCTATCGAACGCCATGAAATCTTTCTGAAATTTTGCGTAGTCCGAACAATATCCATGGGACGAAGAGGTATAAATGATTTTCTTAAGGCATCATCACATGGCAATCAATCGTTACAAGTAGTTTAAGATCTAAGTTATTAGAAAAACAATGAATAAAAGGCTATAATAGGTTAAATAAATTTATTATATCATTTTTTTTATCACAGAAATGTATTGTTTTGTAAGGTACTTTTTGGACAAATAGCACAATGGAAATACTATTGGCAGTTAAAAGTTTCAAAACAAAAACGCTCAGATCATCATTGAACACTAACGCTTATACCTAATTTAGACGGAAAGCGACGTTTTATAGAGTAAGTACTTGAGTATAAGGCAATTGATCAAAATGTTTTGTCACTGTTATTTCTTGATTGCTAAACTGACATTGATTGTTGGCATCCCCACGTGGCGCCTACCACCATCCACTCCTCCACCCAGAGGACCAGCCACCGTAGCCTCTGTAGCCACCGTAACCTCCGAGACCACCATAACCGCTGCTGTAGTACACCGGCCGTGAGTAAATCACGGGTGAAGAATATGCGTACGGCGAGGACCAGCCAGAGCGAATGTAGCCGGCCGAGGCTACGCTTAGAATGGCAATAACTGCAAAGATGCAAGCCTGGGAACGAAACATGTGCAATTTATTACATCATAAACCTTTTTACACTTTCATATGATTTAAATTGACTGAACTAGTTTTAAAAAGTAACGAACAACATTTGGGTAAAACGCAAATTGATGCTATCTTGTTTGATAGTGTTGTAACTGTCCCTGTTCTTCTGACATTGCGACCAAGCTCACTTTTAATCTCATTGCATTACACAGAGCATGGTTGGATTTAAAACGACATAATGACTCTTTCTGTCTAATTTGTAGCATTATAATATTTTCTTCAGTAACTCTATTCGAAATTTGATTTGTGTAAGTCGCCTCAATTGTAAACAACAATGTAATATGAATAGGATAAAAATGTGTAGAAATAATAATAATTATAATCATGTTATATAAATTAATATTTACATAACGTGGTTAATAATTATAAATGATTTAATTAATTTTGTAATAAAAAGTATTCACTAGTAGTAACTAAAATAATTTTTAATGGTTAACACGCAGTTAGTTTTGAAAGATAGAAAGAATAAAGAAGTGCGTTTTTTCAGAACAAGTAAAAATGAAATAAATGCATTTTAAGTTAAATTAATAATATAAATCAAGAACTTACGAAGAATTTCATTTTGGTAGTTGTAGACTGCTTCAGGAGCGATGAGTTAGTACGAAGTGTGAAACGAATCTTCTCCCTTATATACCACTATACATCTCGTCACCGAGGATAAATATGTGACGTAGCCTTAACTGACCTAAACGCCAGTTTAACAAGCTTGTCCTACTGGTTGAAAGAAAACACTGCATTATAGATAATTTTATTCATTGTATGACGTGTAGTAGAGGACGGGCCTCTCCTTACAGTATCGGAATGGGCATATTTTACATCTTAAGTTGTATCGCCGTTTTCGCTCTGCAACTATTGCTCCTCTTGTGTTAACCTTTTGCATGCTATTTGGATATAAATCGGCAATGAATAAGTATATTGATGCTTTGTTACAACGGATTTAATGACATCGTGTGTTGTTGCGTGGGCTAGTCAGAATGCCAGCATTGCCAGGTCACCGACTTAATAACAACGATATTTTATAAATCACTGAGTAGATTTAAAAATAAAATCCATATAAGGCTTACTTAACCTTCGGTTTAGAATATTCTTTTGTGTACAAAATTAATCGATGCACTCACTATAGTTAATGCAAATGTGAAGTATTCAGATAAAGTTAATCTAAAAAAATAGGATAAAAAATTGCTTTATTTCGTCATCTGCCTCGAAATTTTTGACATGACAAATAGTTTACTTATTTTTTTTAATTATAGAATCAGGGTGACAAGAAGGACATGAATTATAATGACCAAGTGTGTGCGTATGTGTGCAAGCACAACTGCACTCAATGTCGCTCTACCCTCATAGTCCGATGCGAAGGCAATCCGACACGACCGGTAAAAGATCAGGCGCAGGAGCAGTGGTTTTACGTGCTTTGCAAGGCACAGGGGCGAGACACTGCCAACTTCCTGATTCCAAGCTGCTACTGTAAAAAACTCAATTACTGCCTTTTTGGCTCAACACATGATTCGAACCCGAAACTTTATGATCAGCAGAAAGTAAACAGATATTAGATGTGATAAATAATACCATTGAACTATTTTTATTTAAACATAGGTTAACATTAAACGGCAAAATATTTATAACAAAATATAATATTTATAACAAGAAACAGGTCTGAATTTTAATAAATTTAGTCTTTATTATTTTAATTCAATTAACATTTGTTTGATAATGGCTAATAAAAGTTTAATTACCATATCAAAGTAGACAAAAACTATTTATTAAACTCATATTCAAATTTAAAAACGGAATTAACTATTTTTATTTCATGCTGGCGTCACTATATATTTTTAATTTAGCACACAGTCCACCTGGTACTTGGTGTTACGACTTCTTTTCTTCGTAGGATTCCTCTGGGTCAGTAACGACTACCTATTTCTACAACCTGTGCCAGCTGAGCTGAACCAGTATATTTATTTATTATTTATAGGCTATGAAGCATTCCCTCTTTATCCTCAAAGGTTAACTCGACTCAACTCACATCTTTAATATTCTTTGTTTGTAGTAGTAATAGGTGTCCAAGTTTTTCATAGAAAAAGGGTAACAAACGAGCACACAGTCCACCTGATGGTAAGTGGATACTGTGGCGCAGACATCTACATTCATCCTCGATTAAGATTCAAAATGCAGATGCGTTGTCACCCCTGCGGACTTATGTGAAATGCTTCGTATCCAGTAAAAAGGGTCTCCGGTTCTCAACACTCACTATACGAAACACAGTATCAGTGTGTTGCTATGGTACTTCGTAAGAGCGTGATGCTTCCTCGGTTGATTCGACCGAGGAAGGATCGATTATACGAGTAGCTTCAACATGTCTCTACCTCATATAGTATATGTAGGTTTTATATATTGGTTCTGTAGCGTACGAGTACATCATCAGAGAACTCACCATAAACTTACAGTACAAACACTTCAGGACTTTAACATACCAAAAACCACTCCGTCGTTGTCGTCTATACTCGTAATACTGTAGCACCATTACAATGACTGAATTAATCTTACAACAAAATTATAGAAAGTATACAAAATCTGACTTCCGTGAAGTTTAAAATTTAGTAAACAATGATTTAAAAAAAAGCGTTATTTTAATAATGGATAATGGATTTATAGTAATAAGAACTGGGAATGAGGTGATCGCTACCAAGATATTTGTAATTTATATTTTGTGTTATTAATTACTGTGTAACTTGAACCCGCTGGGCATCTCGTTGGTTCTCCCCAGGATAAAGGCATTTTCCGAACTATTGGTAAATTATATATAACATTGACTTTCTTGAATTATTATTAATCTAGATTGAATAAAAAAGTTTTTATTTCTGTTTCTAATAATTTTCTTTTCATTAAGTTTATACTCAAGGCATTATATTCACGACACAGTGGTAAAAAATAATAATAAAAACTACTTGACAGTTTGCACTATTACAAAGTAGAGGTTCTCACACAAAACGCTCGTAATGGCTGTATACATAAAGTAATACGAGTAAAACTAATGCTCGGCTAAATTTACAACGATGAATTTTGCTTTTGTTTAAATCTCTTCCTTATTTTATTCCTAGTAAAAGAAACATATATATATATATATATATATATATATATATATATATATATATATATATATATATATATATATATATACATACGTACACATTATTTTATAATATGTTAATATTACAATTATTAATTTATTTGTATATATTTACATGTAGTGAAATTGTAAATTTATGGTGTTATGGTGTAAATTGCGTATTTTCGTAAAAAAATATTGAGTAAATAAGTAAAGGTAACTCAATATATTTCTATCATTTTAAAATTGTCTGTCTGTCTCTTTATTTATGGAAGTATCAACTTTAAGTACTATTTTTTTTAAATAATCGTTAATGAAATCATTGGTATCATTGAGTAAGATTTAGTCTCTGTTTTTTGAAAATTAGTTAATTCTATTAAACTTTATGATTTTTATTCTGCATAATTGGTACGAAATTATTCAATGGTGCATTAAGTGCGTTGAGTCATTAAGTGCAATTTGATCTATTGTCAGAAATCGTTATTAAATGATTTAAAATGATGTTCTGAATAATTTATACCAACGTAAAATATATACATCAAAATACATTAAAAAATAATAGGTTTTTAACAAAAAATAACGTAATACCATCTTAATTAAAGACGACTTTTGTGACACCAGCACCGTATACATCATTAATCCTTCGAGCTGTTTCTGCAGTACTGATGTCACGGTAGAACTCGTACTCGTAAATATACCGATATTTCATGTTTTCCATTGTGCGGTAATAAGTGACGCCTGTGGCAGCGCTGTCGTCGCGCCGCAGGCGAAACATACCGAAGCCTAAATCACGCTATCAACATTCCGAATCATAAACAGTATATATAGAACATCTCCGAACTATCACACGGAGTGTTGGCCGCTCCCCGGGCAGAACACCTTGCCCGGCGGGAGATCTCCCCTTTTCCTTCCACGGCCACAGTGGTGACCCCGACGTGATCTGAACACGCAACCAACAACCTTCGGAAACTACAACTTCAAGCCTTCGGTATTATCCTCAAGAACTCCTACTTACTATACTATTCACTATTGAGAATCGTCTTCTGCAGTCTTCAGTTCCTGCAAGCCAATCCTACTTGTCTTCGTCTCGACTCACCGCAGATTTATAAGGCAGACTTCTGGCACTTGCTCCGGCACATCGTTCTCACCGGTATCACTTGCCCTTACGCACACAGCATGCATTCCCCACCGGCATTAAAGGACACACCGGCAATCAGACTGCACTATCGACCTCCGGTCTGAGCAGGGGGTGGTGTGGCGGCGCTGTCGTCGCGCCGCAAGCGAAACCTACCGAAGGCGAAATCACGCTATCAACATTCCGAATCATAAACAGCATATATAGAACATCTCCGAACTATTACACGGAGTGTTGACCGCTCCCCGGGCAGAACACCTTGCCCAGCGGGAGATCTCCCCTTTTCCTTCCACGGCCACAGTGGAGTGACACCGGTGCGAATAATATGCCGATGTGTAATGCATGCCGTACTACGCACTGGCAAGTCAACACGCCAAAGAAAAAATAATGAGAAAAAAACAAATGAATAACTGTTTTCAAAACTCAAATATACCAGCTAAATGAATTTATAAATTGGAATTTGGAATTCTTAACCATAGAGCAGATATTTCAGCTAAAAGTGACGACAAAACGCTAATTTCATAAGTAAGGACCCAATATATATACGCAATATTCAAAGGTATTGCGCCGTTTCTGCGATATTTATGTCAATCATGCACTGTTACGTGATGAGTTACAAAATATATTATATAATCTACAAAATATATATATATAATCATAAATGTATGAAATTAAATTCATACTTTTTGTTTAAATTTTTTTTGCATGTATACCTATAAAATATTTGCACACCATATAAATTGGTAGAATGTAAATGGGCCATTAGACATAATTTAAGATCATACTTTATTGTACACATACATTCTGGCAAATAAATAAATTTGAATTTGAATTTATGATAAATTAGACCTCATAATTACAACAAATATCAATACTGTTACTGTTTGAGTTAGAATAGAATAGAAGTTTATTAACATAATCAATTATGCTCAAAATAATAAAATTTCAAATCAAGTGAATTACTAAATAACGAAAATTCGAGAACGAAGTCGCGGCCCTGGCTAAGTACCTATATAAATACATATCTAATGTGATTTGGCTATACATTGATACTTGTTTCACAATATTTATTTTAAAATTTTTAATTTATTAACTATAAAAACGTTATGATATAAAACGAGTATGTAGTTTCTCCAAGTATCAATATAAATTATTTGACGTCTTCGTGGCGCAATGGCTTGACATTGAGTTGCGGTACTGAGGGCCGCAGTTTCAAATCTAGCAAGGAACAGGTATTCGTATGACCTACAAGTAATTGTTCCTGGTCTGGATGTATGTCCTTGTGCAATGTATCTTTGTAAAATGCCTCTACGATGCAAAAGA